TTCTTCTTCACCATTGTACTTGCCCTGCTAAAAAAATTGCCACTTTCCACCCTATGGTCTGGGATCCTGGTATCAGATCCATGTGATGCATAGACGTGCTCAGTTGGCTTGAGTGAGGCCTATCTCTGGCACCATTTCAATAATGGGTGGAGAGTTTCCTCTACATTACAGAAGTATAAGCAGACGTATAAAATATGCAACACTTCTAGGAGAGTTAAGTTATTCAATGTCTACTTAGGAATATACAGCCTGATAATTTTTTTTCTCTGAGTTTAGAAGAATCTCTCTACTGGTTCAGTTTCACTATATCCACTTATAGTTTGTACAGTTTTAAAGGACATTAAATAATGAATGCTGACATTTAAGATGCATTATCTACAGATTTTGAAAGAATGAGGTTAATTATGTTCAAGAAGAAATAAAGAATGATTATCACCTCTCATTTTATTACCAACATTAAATGCCTGTGTCTTTACTCCACTTAATCATTTCCTGTGTATTATGAAGGACTGGATCATCCAACTTTTTTAATGAGTAAGGTGAACCATAATGAAAAAAAATCAAAAATCTGAAATTTAAACTTTGATCTTAATTATATAGGAAAGAGATAATAACCACACTTTAAGGCAATTATTGTACACCTCTCTAATCTATAGGCTACACTGTATGTATTATATTTGAAGGCAACTGAGTGTGAAATGTATTAGTAGTTTAAGAGGAACAAATGGAGGAGCAGACAGTGTTATAATCTATTTAGTATTTTATGGCCTATGCATCACAATTCACGAGAGAGAAATAGGGCTACCCAGAGGCAACTGGCTACTGTGTGAGGCCTGTACATCTACTAGATAGCCTGGTGTTCTGACCCCATATAAATTTGAACAACAGTCCTTTGCTCTTCTGTCTAATGGTCTCAATATGCTTTACAGCCATTAAGGAATTAAGCTTCGCACCATCCTTAGGATGAAGGTGAGTCTTACTGTAAGGAAATTTAGATCCTGATCCTGGAACAGACTCTTTGAGGCTGGGCTCTGTGATGTATGGAACTTAACTGAATTCAGTGGAATACTGTGCAGGTTCAGGGGTTGGCCAGCACAGAGTCAGTTGCAGGACCGGGGCCTTAAACATTAAGGCCAAAAGTTTCAAACCTGGGTGCCTAAGTTTAGAAGTCTAATTTTAAGCACCCAAGTTTGGTCAGAGAAATTGATTTGACCAAAGTTGGACTGGAAGCCTGTGACAGCGGGAATAATCCCTAGATCTTATGATTTCCAGTTTATTTCTTACTTGAGCTACGATTTTGGGATAGGAGTTTTACTGAGCCAACAACAGTACAAATACAGCATAAAAGATGGTCCCTACCCACAAAAGTTTACAATCTAATTTGGAGCCTCAGTCCAACATACTTTTTTCTGAGCCAGTAATGAAAGTCACCAATCCTAAGAATAGCTGGATCAGGTACCGGGCACATCCATGACATGCAGGGCTATAATCCCCTGCAGAAACCATGGAGCTGCTTTGTAGGGACTGCTACAGCCCAATGGCTGAAGTAGAGTTCATGCGGGGGGAGGGGGGGTTACATGCCACACGAACCCTGCCCAAGTAGTAAGACTGTGAGGCATCAGCATCCCGTGTGCACCTAATTGTGCATCTAAACTTGCTGAAACCTTGGCCCTAGAGATATAATAAATCAGCCAACTCTTGCCTTCCCTCTCAACTGCTCCTTTCCCCATCCTTTCTGTCCTTCCCCTTTTCCTAAATTCACTTGTATACTGCAATCCTGTTGACATAAACACTTTAAACTGGCTTACATCTACAGAGAAAATATAATTCTAATGACATCTCAGACATTCAAACTGGATCAGGATCAGAGAAGTCATTTGCTTTGCAAAGAAACAGACAGAAAGAGATAACACTAACCATTGTTATTGAGGACTACAGTGAACATTCCTTTTTTCCCCTTTCAGTTCCTAGGTGGCTTGGTAGTTAGATCACCCCTTTGAGACCATGGACACGGAAATAAGTGTGGCTGTTCAGGAGTATTAATGGTTCCTCTGGTGATCTACCACTAAAATAACCACTGTATGGACATTCCTAATATGTGTGCAGAAGGGACAAAGTGACCCTAAGTCAGCCACAGAAGTACCACTTTCAGAAGGTAGAATGTCTGGGAAATGACATCACACAATCAGCCAATCAGTGTTACCTGAAACAACCTGATGTCCTTCCTGGAAGTACAGTACTGCTTTTTGGAGGTGGTACTTCTGGTAATGAAAAGAAGCAAGATGTCAATTTTGAGGTTGTTTGGATGGACAAAATACCTAGCTTGCACACAGGCTTCCAACCACACCTTGCCTCAGAGCCTGGAGCTATCCAAAGTCTGTATGAAACCCCTGGGCTCAGTCCTGCAATGGTCTCACAGACAGAATCTACATTGACTTCAGCATTCTCAAGTCCCATTTTGGGTCATCGCTAATTGGTGACCTCAATGTAGAGTTTGTAGCAAACTGGGCTCAGAAATATCACCTCTTTCTCTTTAGGTGGTGGGAGAGGTGAGTCACATTAGATGTGCCAGAGAAGGTCTTTTCTCTCAGATTTTCAGTACTGATTTTTCATTACCACGTAAAGGGATTTCTAAAAATAACTTCTGTTAACATTAACTGAAAATTCAGCACTGCAAAAGAAGGGGTTTCACTGAAGAGAAGCAGAAATTCAATATTCCAGAGGTAGAAAGACCAAAAATTTCCATGTCTCACTAAGGTCCTTTCCCTCCCATTTGAAAACATCACAAAATAATTGTTTTATAGGCATAACTATCTGGTCACATTAAGGTATCACTGACAGCCTGTTCACTGGAGACCTATAGATTTCTAACCCTGATACCATGCAAATCTAGAACTCAAACCCTGCCTCAGTTCCACTCTTGGGTGCTGAAACTTCTGGGGGAAAAAAAAATTAAAACTCTCTCCAGACATCTGTCTTTGTAGATGTGAATAATGCTCAGTCACAGTAACACCTTCTCTTTTGCCTTCCTCAAATTTGTATTAACTTGTAGCACAAGAATTAAATATATGTTGAAGAATATTTATTTACTCAGCTTTTTGTAAGTCACTTTTTAAGCAAGTTACATGAAAGTCCCTGAGTTCTCTTATTTACAGAAAAACAAGTTTTTGCAACGGCATAGGATACCAATTGTGCTGGTGTCAAATGAGTTTACCCCTTGACCCCCAAGAACAACTCCCTATAATATAAATGTGCTCAATCATATGCACTAGCAAGTATACACACACACTCTCTCTCTCTCTGTCTATCCTCTACTCTCTGAAGAAGAGGTCACATTTTACATCAGCCATTAAAAAAAGAGATGCATCCATTAGTCTAACTGAAGGATAGTCCAGGAGCCCAGTTTTCAAATATAGGCACTTAAATGGAATGTTCAAATGACATATTGGGCATTGAAATTAGCACTTACTGCCTGTTTACCAACTAATACATACGGACCGATCTGAATGCTCAAATGCAGGAATTCTGGACAACTTATTTAGAGGCTCATGCTTGCAAATTAGGTCTTGTGTGTATAACTATAAGTATCTTTGGAGATTTTCATTAAGCAGAAGACACTAGTTTAATGTATCCTGTCCTAGTGCTCATCAGGGATTACATTTTCAATACGCTGCATAAGGATTTAGCTGTGTACCCCTCCATTCATTTTAATAGGAGTCACATTGTTAATTCTCTACACACAGTACTGATGGAAAATCTATCCCAAGACTGTAAATGATACGAGGCTGTAAATTCTGTATGCAAGTGGTATAATACAGGCATTAGACACATGGCTTCCATGTTTGTTAACCAGAATTTGAAACCCAGTCTGTGGGGCTCCAAGGGAGAATATATACCTGGGGTACTGAAAACATCAGGATGGATCCCAGAGTCGGAGTGTCCTAACATGATTAAGGCAAGAAGGGGAGCTGTTTTATGACCATTTTACTGTGTTCCTCCATGAGGAAATTGCAGTACGTAGTATTATGTGCACTTCATGTGCATTTTACCAATGATAAAAGAGTTAGTAACCACTGAGATGTGAGAAAAACAAATATGGTTAATTAGAAATACAGGGACAAATTATGTCTGCTCCAGAGTGGGTATATGGAGAGAGGAGATTGTGTGTAATGAGAACCCGTACCTTAGCTCTCCTGCACATAACACTACAGCCTTAACAATATAGCCCTCACTCCCTGGGCAAAAGTGGAGTGTGGCTAATGCTGATAGAGATATTGATCACTGCTGACATATCAGGGTGGGTTGGAGATGTGATCATGGCCTTGCTTCCCTCCCCATGCGCACACATCCTGTGCATGAGTAAGCAGAAAGAGGCTGGCTCTGAAAGAAACATAGCTACTTTATTTCTATAGGCATAGCATGGGCTGCCAGTGAGTGCATCTGTCCTCCCATAGTCTTTCCACTGACTTCGGTGGGCAGTGGATCAAGCCCATAATGTCTCCAGCCACTGGTGCTCCAGTATTTTATCTTCTCTCTGCTATTCCCAAAGCAGTTGGGCTCTAGAAGTCCTAACTGACTTCTAGGAAGTAGCTATGACTATCAGTGATAAAAGAAAAAATTGTACAAAAAAAAAACCCTTACAATATCTCTGCTGATGTAAACAGGCCTGGCTCCATTGAAGCCAGTGGAGCTACTTGAGATTACACCAGGTGAAGATCTGGCCCCTCACATATAGCTATTGATAACTTGAACCATGTTTATATTGAAAAGCTCACAAAACAGGTTTTTATTAGACAAGACAGAAAACAGCATCTTCCTGATAACAAAGCTTTTAGTTTACCAACTCAAAAGCTGTGTTATAAGGAAAGTGATATTTTCCCTACACTCCCTCCCTCCCCCCTCACATATATTTTACAACTGAAAATACAGAAATAAATCCTCTCTTTATACCCCCATTTAGCTACTTTTATTATTTTTAGTAACCCTAAATAGATACTTACATTATTAACAGAACAGCATACTGGTTTCGATCTGTGAAATCCTTTGGAAATGACAACTGTAAAGGAAGTTCTTTTAAGAAAAAAGCAAACCATTAAAGGCTGGTAGTTACACAGATGCAAACTAGTAAGATTTGAAGAAAGTTTTTTCTGTGTTAAAGGAACATTTTGCTAAAATTACCATAATCCTCAATGTGAAGCATTTTAATTTCTGTCCGGAAAATCTTTTTCTTTAAAATAGTTTCTTTCAACACAGCATTATTTTCCAATATGTAAAATTCTGTCGGAAACAAACAGGAGGAATCAGGGTGGAAAAGATACAATGAATCACCATACAAGAGAGAAATCAAGATACCAATAATTAAAGAAAAATAGACAGATATACAATGTTAAACCTTTTTATAGTTTCTTTCTTTAAACAAGTTTTGTAATGTACCTACTTTGGAACTCAAAAGCCAAACTACCAGTTTACTTCACAATGTGCAAGGGAGTATTAATACTTTTCTCTTCTCTTCTCTGTTCTGGCTTCAACAAGCTTTGTCTCCATTAAATATCAAGGGCTAAATTTTGCCTTGTGGTGCATGGCAGGTGGTAGGAGGAAAGAGCAACAGTCTCTAACCTTCATTACCCACTCCATTTAGGACCCAGGCACAATGCAGATATTAGATATTAGCATACCTGATACATAATGGGAGTGTGGATGGTTGTACAGGAGACGCTACTGTGCCGAGCAGTGTTCTGTGTTTACAAGAAGGCAGGCATACAGTCCCTGCCAAAATGGATGCCTGACAATAAGCAGTGGACTAGGACTGAGAGAGCACATGATGCACCTATCACCAGCAGGAGTCAGGAGCTTGCTATCCTTAGCACCTGTCTGTCCAGTGTAAGAAAATGACCCAGAACACCTTTCCTTGGTCATTACCTTTCTGTATTCCTCCCTCTCCCACACTTCTGTGAGGAGCCAGGACACAATTTGGCTTAAAAGCCAAAGCCAGATTTGAAACAACTCTTTTGCATCCTACTGCTCTTTTTTATCCTCCAATCTCACTCTCTTAATGTGGATGTTTGAAATCATATATCCTCATTTAGGGCAACAGGGGATAATCTAACTAGAATGTTAATTCTGGGCAGTCAACCAAAATGTTATAATTATAGTGTTAGGATATAATAATTTGAAGTAATCTTTAATCACACTCTTATTCTTTTATTAATAGAGGGGGATTATCTAATCTTGCACTGAAACATTACAAATAATGTATCTCATTATTGGGTTTTGTTGTTGTTGTTAATGGTAAGCACTCTCTCTCTAGACCTACTGCCTTGTCTTCTTTCCATAATGTTCTACATCAATCCCACTCACATTTATGCTTTGCTTCCTCACAAATGGGAATTTTAGAAACAAATCACAAAGAGCCAAATTCTGCTCTCATAAATACTGAGCAGCTCCACTGAAGTTAATGAATTTACACTGAGTGATATACTTAGCCCCTGGATCACTTTTAGGGTTTCTGCAGTATAGAGTTTGACAACTACAATAAACAGTAATATTGAAAATATGAAGGAGAAAGGGCAGTTGTCAGCTTTTCCTTAATTAAGTGGATTAGTATAGTTATCAACATGCTGTAACTCTATTATGTATTTGAAAGGTCTGATCAGTATGACATTTTGAAGATGTAGGGCCAGATCCTCTGCAGTGGCAGAGCTGTGCTTGGCCCAGACTAGAGGAGGGTGGACAAAGATGGCTTCATGCCACCTTTGTAGCCCTGGGATCTGGGAAATAACGTGCAGCGGCCTGGACCTCCAGCACAAGTTTAGAACATCTTGAGGCTGGTTTAATTAGTGCCAGGTGCCTGTGCTGTATATTGCCAGGGTGGAGGAATGCAGGGTGGGACTGGAAGGGCTGGCAATAATTGCTGCTATGGTGGGGGAGGGATAGCTCAGTGGTTTGAGCATTGGCCTGCTAAACCCAGGGGTGGGAGTTCAATCCTTGAGGGGGCCACTTAGGGATCTGGGGCAAAATCAGTACTTGGTCCTGCTAGTGAAGGCAGGGGGCTGGACTTGATGACCTTTCAGGGTCCCTTCCAGTTCTAGGAGATAGGATATCTCCATATATTATTACCTGATGTTTGTGGCTGGTATGCATTGTCAGAGCAGCAAAGCAGCCAGGGAGCAGCATAGGTCCACAGCAGACAGCATAATTAGCAAAATTTGAAATGTAGAGGTAATGGACCTGATCTCACAAAACTCAATTCTTGGAATTCCTATTTAAAATATCAGTGAAGGCACTTTGGATTTGCCTTATACTAAGAGCAGTACTTGGTTCATTGTATGTAAGTTAAATTTGATGATCAGCCCTTGGAGGTCTGTACTTTAATCCAGAATAATTGGATTATAACTTTAAAAAACATTTTTAAGACTACAGAAGACATGCCATAATAGAAACATAATTTACATAGTGAGTGAAAGGGATGAAGAACGTCCTGCCACCTAATTAACTCAAGTGTAAATAGTAGATGAAAGATATGCATCTAGCCTAACATGTATCTGAGAAATCCTGGGAATGTTCTAGTCACTTGATTAATTTTTTTCTCTTATCACTTCCAGCCATGTTTATTGCTAGAATGTAATTAAGACAGGTTTATGGAAATGAATTGCATACTTTTTTTTCCTTTTACTTAAGTTAAAACAAAGATTACAATAAGGAATTCCTGTGGAATGGTGCTTACTTACTTCCAGGGTTACTTGTAGTGTGCACGCTAACAACTGGAACGCCTGGACCTAATTTTGTAGAGGGAGAAAAGTACAAAACATAATTAAAGTAGAAACTGTTTATGAGCTGCTCTGAACTTCAACAAATAGCAAAGATTGCAGTATTCGAAGGAAGGTGAACACAGAGATGACAATAATCACTTTCTGATGCAAATCTATAAAAGCGCAGTAAAAATATCATATAATTCCAAATAGTCCCATAATCAAGAAACTCTTTTGGTATCCACTTTCTAAGTATCACAGCTAAATATAGGTTTAACATATTAAAGTATTATTTACTATATTGCAGTAGTGCCCAATGTCAGAAAGCACCAGGACGAGTACCCCATTTTAGTAGATGCTGTATAAACACGCAGGAAGACATGGGACCAAATTCTGCTGTCCATTAGCCTGGTGTGGAACTCAAGCAGTTCACTGACTTAAATTACTCATGATCTTGAGTGATGTCATTGACAGCAGAATCTGATCTGCAATCCCTTCTCTGAAGAGTTTACAGTTTAAAAAGACAAAGAGATAAAAAGGGTGAAAAGGGGGCAATGGTTTTAACCACTACACATGGCATATTTGTCTAAAAAATACATTCTGAAACAGGAAAGAGACAAAAAAGAAGGTAAGAAGGTCTTGTGTTAAGGAGTGGAACTCAGGAGATCTAGGTTCTCTTTTTGTATTTGCTAATAACTTCCTGCAGGACTTTGGGCAATTTACTAAAAAAGTGCAACCAACCAACCAAAAATTCAGGAAAGAATCTAAATGTTTAGTACTGATGTTTTTAAAATAAAGCATTTCGATTTTTTCATTTGAAATGACTTTTACTTTCAAAATTTATTTCCATTTTATTTAAAAATTAAAAAACCTTTTAAAGAGCTCTAAAAACCAAAATGTTTTGTTTGACCTGAAATTATTATTAATTATTATTATTATTTTACGTTTCAGTTTTCCAAAAAATAGAAACAATTTCACTTTGGTTTGACCTAAATGATTATTTCCCCCCGTTTTTCTGGTACTGCAAGTGAACAAAAAAACAGTTTTTTTTCCATCACTCATCAAGGAGCACCACAGGAAAGTTTATAAACAAATAAACACAAAGAAAGTCTGACAGGATACCAGTTCAACACTAGTTCTAGCAAACTGGGAATTAATTCTTCACTCAAGTCTCTCGAGGTGCTCGGGAGATGAAAAGGGATGGGATAATGAGACAGTGCTACTGACTGAGGGCAAACAGGACGTAGAAGTTAGACTATAAAAAGTGCTCATAGGCGAACAGAAGGCGAAAGAACTGAAGCTTGTAAGGATCAAGTTAACCCAGCAGCCTCCAAAGAGTTTAGCAGAGATGTGTTTTTGTTGCAGTTTTAGCAGGGCCTTTTGTTTGTTTTAAAATGTGTGTATTTGTTGGTTTACCTCAAACTCTTGTAAGTAAACAAGAGAAAAGCTTCTGTTGCTGGACTGTGCTGCTGACTCTGACATCTTAGCAATGTTGTGCCCCTTTTAGAGTCATTTTTGCATTACTCTAGCGGTCCCATGGGGCCATACTGCTGCCATAACTGGGCTGCTGGAGATTCCCAGGTGGAGTAGAAAAGACTGTACTCCATCCTCACACAGGCATTATGCTGGGGATATACCTAGAGAAGAGGCATGTGTGATCCCAAGCTGGTAGCTCTAATTTATATTGGGGATAGGGAAAAATAAAGGGGGTGTGCAGCATCTCTGCACCCCCATAGCCGCGTTGGGGCTTGCACCAAGTGCAGGGTCATGCTCAAGGTTTGAGCTCATAGGGGCTGATATTCAGATATGCGAAGCATCCACAGATCCCATCAACTTCCAGTAGAGATATGGGATCTCTCTATCTCTAAAAGTCAGACCCCTAATGACCAGTCCTATTGCTAATATAGTGAATTTCAAAGCTGGGAGAAGGATTAAGGTCATTCTCATTTCAAATGTACAAATAAATAATTCCACATTAAATACATTTTACTAAAACATAATAAGAACAAAAGCTACAGAGCCCAGCACCTCCTTGCACCTTGCAGTGGTTCAGTACTGACTCAAAAGTAAGAAACCCCTTGCTGACTTGCCCATACCACTTCCTGCAGCACCCAGGGATTGCCTAGGTCGTCTCCCAATCAAGAACTAATCAGGGAGAACCCTGTTTAAACCATGTTTTCTCTGTATTGCTTTTATCTTAAGAATATGATAGGCCTTCACAAAAAGAACTGGGTGGTAACTTCTAACTGTTGACAATTACTCTAGTATCGGTTTCTGAGGAGAAAGAAAACAAGTGTGCTTGGGCATCCTGTCTCTGTTGAGAATAACACAGTGAAGACAGGGAACTCTGCATCCTGGAAATACCCTGGCCAGCGGGAGTAAGACATGGGTCTCCACCCAAGAAAGGCAATGGGTGGGGAGCTGGAAACCTGAGAGTGAATGCCCTTGCTAGACCACTGAGGGGAAACACAAGTGCAGTTGTCCTGAACGATGACTATGTGTGTTTATTTATTTACAGGTGTCTTTATGAAAATATCCCTTATTTTAGTCACTATACATTTTTCCTATTTTTATTAAAATTGTCTATTTTCAAACTCAATGGATTTTTGTGTGTGTGTGAAACAGAAATACACAGTTGCAGAGAGAAGTAGATGTACATGCAAAGAAGTGGACTGTTCAAATGTGGTGTTAGATGGCTATATTCCATCATTTTCTACCTGCTGCTAGATGGGCAGCAAAACAGATGCTCATAAAAATGTAGGCCACAACTAGGGTGGCCAACTGTCTAATCACACAAACCCAAACACCCCTTGCCCCACCCCTGCCCGAGGCCCCGCTCGCTCATTCCATCCCCCCTCCCTCCGTCGCTCGCACTCCCCCACCCTCACTCACTTTCACTGGGCTGGGGCAGGGGGTTGCAGTGCGGGAGGGGATGCAGGCCCTGGGCTGGGGCTGAGGGGTTTGGAATGTGGGACGGGGCTCCAGGCTGAGCCTGGGGCAGGGGGTTGAGGTTCAGGGGGCACGGGGTGTGGTTTCTGGGAGGGAGTTTGGGCTGGGGTAGAGGTGCAGGAGGGGGTATGGGCTCTAGGAGGGAGTTTGTGTGCAGGATGGGGCTTCGGGCTGGGGCAGGGAGTTGGGGTGCAGGAGGGGGTGAGGGGTGCAGGCTCCGGCCAGGCGGTGCTTACCTCAGTCAGTGGCACAGCAGGGCTAAGGCAAGCTCCCTACCTGCCCTGGTCCTGCATCGCTCCCGGAAGTAGTTGCCACATCCCTGCAGTCCGTGGGGGAAGCCACAGGGCTCCGTGCCCTGCCCCCGTCTCAAGTGCAGCCAATGGGAGCTGCGGAGGCAGTGTCTGCAGGCAGGGGCAGCGTGCAGAGCCTCTTGCCTCCCCCAAGGGTCAGAGGAACATGCTGGCTGCTTCTGGGAGCAGTGCGGAGTCAGGGAAGGTAGGGAACCTGCCTTAGCCCCGCTGCGCCGCCGGACTTTTTGTGGCCTAAAATGTCCTGGTTTGGCTTCAATAGCCTCTGGGAGATAAAGCCCGATTCTGGGAGACTCCCAGAGAAACCAGGACGGTTGGCAAACGTAGCTCCAACCTGCTATTAATTACAGGATTGGGGGCCTACCAATGCCCTTCACTAGCTTATAATAATACATGTTCTGTTTGTCTCATCTCCTTTCCATCACCCTTGCCTACTGCTTCTTTACATCTATTGCAGAGTCTTGTCTGGCTCTAGATTGTAAAACTCTCAGGGCAGCGGTTGTCTCTTACTCTGTGTTTGTATAATGCCAAATACAATGGGGCCTGAATACAAGTTGGAGCCATTTGCTCTACTGGAATACAGCTAATAATAAATACACAAGTGCAGTTCTTTGACATTCCGTTGATAAAAAGAGCTGTTTACGTGGACTGAACAAGACCATACTTTTGGTAAATACATTAATGTCTAAACACACCTACATAGTAATACATTAATATTTATATAAAGCAAGTCTTTAGTTATGATCTGGAATTAATTGCATAGGATCAATCCAAACACCTATATATACTGCAAAGACTAATTTATTTGTCCAAATAACTATTGTTAGGAATTACAATAGTGTCACTTTAAAATTTCACATTTCCAGCACAGTCCCTGCCCTGTAGTGTGAATTTTAATGACTGAAAAATAAAATTAAAAACAACAACAATAATAATAAACAATCCATTCCTTCCTAAAAGGATACAAGGAGTTTTAAAAGGCCAGGAGCGCAGGAGCTACTAATTATACATTTTTACAAAAATGATCTTAGGCTCCATAACTCCAATGAGCTCTGCACAGGGGAAGCCTGTGCCTGCATGAACCTAGCAATTGAGCTTGTTGCTAGATTAGGGTCTAAATCACCCCAACCAGAAGATGATGTTAATATAGGATATACACAAATAAAGCACTATAAATAATTTTTATTGTGAACAATATATTTGACTTACCTTTACAATGTAGTAAAAAATGCTTGTTCATAGGACTAAACTTTGCACTGAAGTATGTGCACTGATCTTTCATGAAGTTGCATGAAAGACACTGGCGGTTCAGTAATCCAACAGTTGATACACTGAGAACAAAATTAGTTATAAACATCAGAAAAGTTTTATTTGATAATATAACAAACTCATTAAGTGATGCCAAAGGCCCACCAGACAATAGTTTTTATTCTGATCTCCACTCTTCCCTTGCTAATTTTTTTTGCTTGTTTTGTCCCAAATATGACATGCTGTTGGTTGTTCCATTAAGCTACAACCCTGCAAGCTGTTTTGTGAGGGAGGTCTTCTAAACCTACATGAAACAGCTTACAGGACAGAGACCTTAATTATTAAAGGTATCCTTGAGTGAGAATAAAAGTAAAAAAATAATGAGAATTAGGGAACTGTAGCTTTTAGAAATGTCTTTTCTGCATGGGTGAGGGAGTCTGCCCACAAATTTTAGACTGAAGGGTTGGAGCCTTTGTAAATATAATTTAAGCCACATTGAGAAAGCTTTCTACACAGCATACCAGTCTGAAGAATACACGTGTATTACACCATTGCATTTAGAGTTTACCTAATTTTTAATTTTATATTATATTCACATAAATATGATTGGCAATTTTTGAGCATAAAGTGAATTCTCTTTAGTAATGAGCAGGTTGATTCCGCACTCCTTGCACTTTCTGCAGTCATTTATCTCTGTGCCAAAGTGAGTGTGAAACCTTATCACTCAGATTTGGTAGTAAAGATCATCAAAAAGAAAGGGCAATACTTTGGGGGATTTTTTTTTTCTCAAATCCCATCCTTTTCAGTTTTTCCTCAAAACCTGAAATCTTGACATTTCATTGCATTTTTCAAATGGCAAAAATTTCAACCAGCTCTCTGGTTATTTTGAAAATAAAAGTTAAATATTTTAAAATATTATTAGATTTTTTTCAAAATACAATGTTTTTGTGAAATTTGAAATATAAATATACAGGAAAAATATTAACAAAAATTTAAGTTTGCTTGGCAGCATTTTACACCTACATTGCACTCATTTTGCTCAGGTGCAGATAACTAACCATGCTGCGAGACAGCAGGAGGTCAGGCACACAGAATCTCTTTCTAGTTTATAGTACTTGTGTTAGGGCTATTGTAAATTTCCCTCTGAGTATTACTTACCTATGTAGCTGTCTTCCTCTTGGGGAATCTTCAGTGCTTAAAAAATAACTGCCCAAGAAAAACAAATAAAATTAAACTCACTTCTGAAAACTCTCTGATCCATATAATGTTAGGAAGAACTTTCAACATGAAACCCAAATCCATGCAAAGCCCATTATGGGTGAAGTTTTTTGCACTTTTTGTGTGTGAAATGTTTCGCAAACTCATGTTGGTTCCGCTGAATTGTTTCAGTAAATTTTTTTTTTAAAGTCAAAACATTTCCATTTTTCAGTTCAAAATGACTTTTTGTTTCAAATTTTCCTTTAATATTATTTGAAAAAATAATTTAAAAGGTTTAAAAAATGCTGGAACTCAAAACTGACTCATTTCAATTCAGATCAAACAAAATGTTTCCCCCTGATCTTTTCACATCACTGAACATTTCAAAAAATGTTTTCAGTTTGAACCAAAGTATTTTTTGGTTTTCTAAATTTCTAGTGAGCCCCAAAACATCCATTATTCACCCAGCTCAAATTACAGATGTGCAGACAGCTTTACATACCTGGGCTGATGTATGTTTTCATATCAAAACAATACTGAACTCTCAGGGGCACATTATGGCTGCCTCTGTGTGGTATCTAAAGAGAGCTTTTCTTTTCAAAAGCCATAGCTGGATCTGTCCATAACTGCATCCCCCAGTAACCCTGTAGGCAAGGGTACTGATTCTAATCTCACACAGGCTCCACCACTGCTGCTGAAACTCTTTTGACTTCAGTGGAGATCACAGTCAAGCACATTATATTTATTTCTGCCTTATGCAGATATAAATAAGGCCTGTTCCAAAGCCCATAGTAGTCAGCTAGACTCATTCCATTGACTTCAATGTGTTTTGTATCAGGCCCATACTGTCTCCAGGCACTACCATTCAGTCAGCGCACTTCCTTCCTTTTGTAGGAACCTTAATATAGTCCTGGTTTGGTTTTGAACAGGTTTTATTAATAAATTGGTTGAACCTCAATGATTTTGGCTGAGTTCCCCTCTATTTTCTGATTTCAGTTTTTGTATCTGTTTGAACAAAGAACATCAAAGTGAAGCTTGGAAGGTTGGAATGCCTGCACATTGAAACCAAAGAAAAGGTATAAAACCCCTGTGAACTCAAACCTCTGAGTTTTATCAGGTCTAATAATATTGCCAGGTTTTTTTAACTTGGATTCCGGAGGGCAGGGCAGGAGGGTTGGAAAGGTTATTTTCTCCATGCTGTAGTTTAATTCCTTTTATTGAATCAACAGAGTGAGTCAGTAGATGGCATAGCATATCTCCATTAGTTATTCAAAAAAGATACTTGCATTACCTTGGCAGATCAAATGTATGAAACTGCTCTTTGTACTATGATTATAATTTATGGCAGTGCTTTGCAAATGAAAAAAAATATTATTACTTAATTGTATATACACTATTTCCAGTTAAATGGAGTCTATCTCAATAATTCACAGATATTTTGCCTTTGCAGACAAAGAACACTAATACTCACATCTTTTGAGTATTTTCATCATATGCCAGGATTTTGATAACTTCCCAGTTTCCTGATGTCAGGTGTCTCACACTGATTTGTTCAGTTTTAGCCTGCAGAGAAACAGTAAGTATTGACTTTCATCTTACTACTTACGTTTTTCTTTACTTAAAATGATTGTCAGTGCACATCATTACTGATTTACAGCTTTTTAATCCTTTAATGTACAACATAACTCACTGAAATCACAAAACCCACATGCACTGAAAGGCATTGACAGTAAGGATCCTTTCTCCCTCAATAGATTAACTTTTCCCAAGGTAGTAAAATCATGTCAGTTTCTATTGCAATATTTTTTCAATTAACCATACACAATATCGACGATAGAGGTTCTATATTTTATCTAGTTTGGCATATCTTTAATTTTGGTGCAAGTTTGATTTCAGCTAGAGGCTATCACAATACATGCTGAAATTTTCATTATATTAAAAAAAAACCATTAAACTAACAAATAAGTGTTTTTCTTCCAGAAACGAGAATAAAGGTGCAAAAGGTCAAAGCCAGATCCTTAGTGCAGCAATTCACAGCAGCTGAGGATATGACCCCAAAGCTTCAAGGAGCTAAACATAAATAAATATCACCTGTGTTTCTTCAAGATTTGGTTGTCCTTTACTTGCTGGAGTGGCACAAAGAGGCTTAGCCTGACCCTATGCATTCAAAGTGCTGTACAAACATTAGCCAGTTACAGCTGAAAATTTACTGTATGCTTGTACAGAGCAGAGCACAATGGGACCCAGACCTTGTCTAGACCTCTAGGCATTAACACAATACAAATAAACAACACCAACACTACCACCATCCTGTGAGGTAGGCAGATACACATTTTAATCCCCTTTGTTGCTAACCTAGTAGGAGTCAAGGCAGAGCTGAATGTGGTCCCTAGTATCCACCTGTGTTATTTGCCATTTAAACTATCAGACCCTAAACTTCCAGCCATTAGAATTACGGTGTCTTGACCACTGAGAAAAAAAAAACTGCTTGGGAAAGAATTGTACGGAGAGTGTAAGGTATTACAGTAATTCCCAGAGGATCCATCTGAGGTCAGGGCCACATAGTGCTAGGTGCTGTACGTATCTATATTAAGAAATATTCCATTAAAATGGGGTACTGATATTAGTTGGGGCATCTAGAACTATTGAAATGAGTGAGTGAGTGAGTGTTTTCTGTCTGCTTAGATGGTAGAGGCTAGAGGACTTTTCATTTATAACAAAGTTCCATCCATGGCAGCACTGAAGGGAATTTTAAAGTTCTGAAATCACAGATTCCAAAATAAGCTATGGTTTATATTGCTGATAAGTATTAAACAATATGGCTGTTTTTCAAGGTTACAGCTGTAATACATAATTTATCATGCTTGCTGGCAATTTTTGCCCCAAACCATTTAAATTACTTTTAAATTCTCATATTATGGTAGAAAATACGAACAACTGTATATTTGTACATTTTTGGGGGAAAAAAACTAAGAATTTCCAATAGATATATCACTGGTTCAGTCCAATTTTTTAATTAATTTCTTTTCAATATGATATAAATTACTAAAGGTATTTGGGAACATAACACAGATTGAGCACTTTACATGCAACAAGTACATAAATTGACAGGCTTTAACACTTTTTAAAACAGTGCCCCAGAGAGATTAAATTAGATGCTTTTGATAACCTGATTTGGGTTATGTAATTCACATTTTGTGTAATATCTTTTCTAAAACTTAGCATTAATAAGGTTGATTTAAGATGTTCTAAGCAAAACCATCATATCTCACTAACTGTGCTTCATTTGGATAATCAAACCCCAATGATTAAGTGAAACAGAAGTGCATTGATCATTAAAGTTTAATTCTGTGTTATTAGACTTTTATGCTGGGGGCAATAAAACTGCTTAACTTCTCCTGTGTCTACAATGCTTACTCTGCTTAACATTACCAATGAAAGATCTTAAGTGGGCAATTACACATAACATTCCATTGTTTACTGCAAGTGTTCATGGTGGATTTTGGTTTTCACAATGCTAAGTACCAACCACCTATTTAAAATTCTGCTGAGGCAACTGTTATGCTTCTGTGGCTCTCGCAAAGTGTGACAAATATTTGATATGACAAAAGCCTTTATGTGAAATGGTTAATATAATTTTTATGTCTCCATGTTTGCTTTAGAAATGGACAATCAGATTAATACAGTGTGCAAAGCACAGCATATAAACACATTTCCTATCCTTTATTGCCCCATATCAGCCCCATTACCATACAGAGTGTTGCTTACTGATGAATAATGGTCAGTAGATGGAATGTCTGGTTTCCTCGTATATATGTAGATATATATGTAGATAAAAACTAACTCCAGGGAGCAGCTATACACTAAAAAAACAAATTCATCACTAGTATAAGGTAAACAATTCCACTGAAGTCAGAGTTAGACCTATTGATACTTATGGTGAATTTGGCCCAAACAATCAGAGGTCTTTGCCACTTTGCAGTTGTATATTCCCCTATCTCCTTATTCTGCTGAATAGGGATGGACTGCTAAGCATTTAATCACATGCTTACGTTTAAGGATATGTGTAAGTCCCATTGAAGTCAGTCCTTAAAGTTAAGCATGTGCTTAAGTTCTTTGACGAACAGGAATGGATTTAAACATGTGCTTATATGCTTTATTGAATTGGGGCCTGAGTTTCCCCAAAACTTTGGTCAGGTCTAATGAAACAGCCTACAAGTTCACTCCAAACTTTTTATCGACACTAACATTTAGTGTGACATTACAAGACATTTTTCCTCCATTTTTTTATTATTTCAAATATTTTTGAATGCTACACAGCACCATATAATGGGAAAGATGTCTAAATAGGATTTCCTTGCTTGTTATATTAGTGTAATATTCTCTGATTTTCATGCACATCACTGATTTATTGAAAGATGGAAGTTTGACACACACACTTACGTTTTCCATTCTAAAATCTTAGGCCACATCTTCACTGGCAGAGTTAAAGCGTTGCCATGGCAGCGCTTTAACATGGCTTGTGTAGTCACAGCACAGCCACCTCCACCAGGGAAAATAAACCACCTCCACAAGGGGAATAGCTATCAGCGTTTCCCAGCGCTGGTGCACTGTCTACACTGGCACTTTGCAGCGCTGAAACTTGCAGCGCTCAGGCGGGTGTTTTTTCACACCCTTGAGCAGAAAGTTGCAGCGCTGTAAAGTGCCAGTGTAGACAAGCCCAAGTGATAGATTAAGGTGCAACTGCTCTTTCTTTTTTTCCACACTGCATTGTGAACAACATGCTTTATACTGAGATCAACATGAACATTATCATAAGGGTGTGATGTCAAGGAGCACTGGTATCATGAATGGTTGCTATTTTAATTCCCTAGGATTCCTTTGAAAATCCCAGCATAAATTGTCCGGGACATGAGCATCTCTCTCCTTGTGTCTTATTGAGATCAGCTGAGCTACCTGAATTAACAGCCCCCTGATTTAAGTGGGAGTTGGAGGAATTCTCAGCTCTAGAACTTAGGTTCAGATTCTCCCAGGGTTTTTGGTGCCTCACTCCTATTGATTTCAATTGAAATTAGGGGCCAAAATCCATTAGAGGATCTGGGCCTTACTTTCTATATTAGTTCACCACAGTCCAAATCCACTGGAACTTCTGGTCACACTGCAAAGCTCATCCTTTGTCCCAGGCTCTTCCCTGGCAGGAGGGATAACCCAAAGAAGTCAAAGTCATTGGAAAATGAAGCACTTGGAAGTGGCAGAATTCTAGTGTGGTGAATTTTGGCGGGTTTCAGATATGGACATTGGTACCTGTGTATGTTTTATCAGTTAAATTTTGTGTGTGCACCCAGAGTTCTGGACTGACATTTTAAAAAATAAATAAATATATAAAGTAAAATTGGCATTTCTGAAGATTTCCATATTCATATGGAACTTATTGCATTAATACAGAGCATTATCTTGTTATAGAGGATATAGAAAGCAAACAATGTCTCTGATTAGTTCTGGAGACAGGAAGAGAGAATGACTACTGGGTGCTGTGTGAGTGCCTGCTGTTGACAGATCTATTAAGCATCTTTGGCACCAGCCTACTACGGAGAGAGAGTTCATCCACCTTCCTGACTACATGGTGCTACAAATGTGTTGTGCAGAAGAGCTGTGGTCACGATAGAGAAAGGGCCATCCCCATTATACATATGTGGAGGCTCTCAAGTGTCTACTTAGGGCAGTCTTTTGTTTGTGTAAGACATCACCAGGGACACCCCTTACCAATATGCCTGGGGGATTATACAAGCACTCCCCAAAAATATGAACTGAAACACAAACTTACCTGAACAATAAGCATGGCTATGTGGTGGAATTCACCCCGGCCACCTTGTTTCACTGGGACTATCATAAAGAACTTACTTCCATCTTTGGAGAAAACTGGCTCCTCATTCTATAAATATAAAATTGTTTTAGTTGTCTCAAACTGTGTATTAAACTCTCCATCAAATAAGCAGCTTGGATGTCTAAATCTGTGGATTGCCGTTGCTTACACAAAGATTAAAGAGGTGTCCTTCGACTTTCAGCATAATCGGGTCTATATACTGTGGTAAAAATAGTGGAACTAGAATGGCTAAACCTCAAAGGGTTCTGAGATATGGTTCAATTCAGCAGCTATAAATTCTGATGCTTTTTCAAAACTCTTTTGCCTGAATATTTGGGCTGAAAATCTCACAAAACTGACTCTCTCTCATGTGATTTTTGGTATTGTCCTCTTTCGTTAGTGTTGGAAATACTAGAGAGTTTCCTTTACGGTGTATGTATAATGAAAGTAACACGTTTTATTGATAATGGTGAGAAATGTTGTCTACTGCGTCAATTCAGCAAAACAAACTTGGCTTTAACAGGACTTAAGCCACTGATTCTGAATTTGGATGGACATAAGCACATGTAAGTGCTTTGATGAATCAGTGCCCTACCATTGACTGTTGAAGTGTGTAAGTAACTTTGCTTGTTATGCGTCTCCTAATCCAACATCATATAGAAATGTTAAAGGGACACCGCCTACCATAAAATCATAATTTGTAATGACTTTTTCTTACATACACTTTACAAGATGGAACCTGAAATGTGTTTTAAATAAGTATGTTTCATCCATTTTTGCAATCTGTTGGATTTTTTATTTGAATCTGTGAAAGTGGAACCATTTGCTGACATTTTGGTTCTATATACAATTCATGTGCGTGAACTTTGTTATATTATTTTCAAGCATTCCTCTGGAGCCCTATACAACCTCTTTCCCTTCTACTCTTTTGCATCAGTTTTGAACAGGAGGAAAAAAGGAGGAAAAACATTTTTCTCTGAAAAGACAGCAGATCAATGCACACAGAAGTCAGATCTGCTGTGCAAGAATACATATGCTATGTTGAATTTTTACAGTCATTTTTGTGATGATCATATGTTATATTAATGTGGGGGTCCTGAAAAGTGAATATTTTATTTTAACAAAAATGTCATTTTACATTTCATTAAAGGAAATAAAATAATGAGATAAAAGTAACAATAGAAGCAGCTATGCATTACACATTTCAGACATCATTCATACAATACCTGTTTAGAAAGCCACACTTCTGATGTAATCTCATATTTCTAAAAGAGAAGAATTATCTTTATGAAATATATACAGACCAAAAAAAAATCCTTACATTAATCAAAATGACTCTTTATATTTAATGTTTGTGTCCTGTGTTACAGAGCTCTAGCTCAGCGGTTCTCAAACTTCATTACACATGACCCCCTTTTGACAACAAAAATTACACTACCCCAGGAGGGGCAACTGAAGCCTGAGCCCACCTGAGCCCAGGTGCCTCAGGCATGGGGGCCAAAGCCAAAACCCAAGGGCTTCAGTCCCGAGTGGCGGGCCTGCAACCTGAGTTGGGAACTGAAGCCAAAGCTGAGCCTACCACCCAGGGTGAAGCCCTCGGGCTTCGGCTTCAGCCCCAGGCCCCAGAAAGTCTAACATCAGTCCTGGCGACCCCATTGAAATGGTCTTGTGACCCACTTTGGGGTCCCAACCCACAGTTTGAGAATCTCGGTTCTAGTTTTTCCATTGATATTATCCCAAAAATGTATAAATACTTAAAAGATTAACAGATGATAATTGAATTTTAAATACAGCTGTCTTTCTGAATTTCCAGGATAACTAGGGACATAAGATCTTTTAAAATCCTTTTTATTAGCAATCAAAAAGCTTTGAACAGACAGTAATATTTGGTTTTTAACGCTAGGCATCATCTGACAACTGGAAATTTGTAGGACCTTCAGCAACATTGGCTAAACAGCCAGCACCAGATTTCTATCATTTGTTTTCATCTGAACATGCTTTTCATGGGTCATAGTTTAGTTTAGTTTAGTTTCATGGGTAATAGTTTAATGAATACATCAAAATCTTAGTATCTACAATATCATGCTTCATATAGGGCCATTGCCTTTACACCATATCATACAACCAGGTACTTCATATATCTACCAGTAAAATAATATGGGACAGATTTGCAGCTGGTATGAATTGTCTTAGCTGCACTGAAGTTATGACAATTGACACCAGCTGAGGATCTACCCCCTAGAAGTGTGGTCCAATCAACTGAAATTCCAATGGCTATAATAATTTGATCATTTGTTTTGATATAAATCTTTTGGGAATTGCAAATGAATACTGATAAACTCTTGAGATATTTATAGAAGTTACATATGCATTAGCACTGAAATGGTAATATATGCTGTAAAACATTCTTGCACTGAGGATTTTTCAGTTCACTTAGAAAGCCATGATCTTGTCCCACTGTCACTGAAGTCAATGGCTAAACTTTCCCTCGGTCTAATGGGAGCTGTGACAAAGTGGAAATATCTGTGTTATTTTTTATGAGTATTGTGCATACCTCTGTGTTTGTTTATGTGGGTTACTTGATATGGAGGTAGATCAAAATGAGTTTGTAAGAAGGAAACCAACAGGAAACAAAACAATGGCAAAGATAAGGTGTTATCATAGCTATCTAAGCTTTGATAACACCTGTCCAGGCTAGACTGCTTTACTCTTCCCAAGGCTAAGCCTAGCATACAAGGGAATCCTAAACCTTAAATATGCTGGCCTCAGGAAGGAGATGGGAGGAAGTTGTCAGCTGCTGCAGGCTGACATAGATTGACTGCGAGTAAATGTCTGCAGCAAGCAGGCTGTAACTTGTTCCCCAAAGAGAACAAGGGGCACCAAGAATAAGACACATCTACATAGGGGCTTGTGGTGAATGCTAAGGGTAAGTAAGACAGTATGTGTATGGGTCTCTTTGTTGTTTTAAATCCACTTCTCTCAATGCTATGAACCTTTTGGCAAATAAATCCTACTTTGTTTGAAGAAGCTGCTTCTGTGTCACTGCATTTTATTACTATCCACATGATCCCTTCTGGAAACCATTCAGAGTGGTTGGATCCTTGGGTTTCACCCCAGGAAAAGGGGAGAAGTGGGTACTGAAAGGGGTGCACTTGAGGGACTGGACACAGCTACCCAGGGCCATGACAGCAGCATTTGTATGTTTGAGATTCCCAGTTATGACAGCAGTCAATACGAATGAAATAAATATTTCTGAGAGGTGCTACAGAGCAGTTAGTGTAAAGGTGTTATACAATATTCTTTTCTTTTTCTTGTACACAATCCAATCACACCCTAGAAACAGCCTCCACTCTCCTTTACCTGTCACTTTTTGTGATCCATAGGAAGGTGTACATTCACAAATATTTCTGAAGGCACCCAGACATATAAAAAAAGTATAAAGAGGGATGGGTGATGGATGCATGTGTCTTTGGAAATAGAAAGGTATGAACACCCAGTTTCCAGTCCTGTTTTAATAGAACTCAAGGAGATTGTTATCATGGTCTTCAATTCAAGCAGGACCCACCAGGTGTGAAGACATGTTTGTGTGAGGGGAAAATGAGGAACCATGAGTTGTCCTGACCCTTTGGGAAAAAACTTCTATTTTGAAATGCTGCCACACAGAGTCTGCTGTCAGAATCAGCAGCAAAAGCATTAAAATAAACATTCCTTTTGATGAGACTGGCCACTTTTTAGAGCTGTGTTATCATGGCTATATTACAGGATAAAAAGTGAAATATTATTTCAACACTGGGCTCCTGTGGAAACATCACGTCTTAGCAATGGCTTCTTCTATCTGCAGGAAATTTGGAAACAAAAATTATCTTCTCCACTAAATGTTCTGAACTTTAGCTCCCCTTCACACACCCTTATGACTCCATGACAGTCACCAAATGTGATTTCTTTTGAGGCCCAAGAAAGCCTCTCCTCGGTCTTCCCAGAAATGTCAATTTCAATAAAAAACATAGTGTTATCTTAACCATAAAATATATTGTTTATGTACGATGAGCCTCCAGGGACTACCCTGCATCTTTCCATTAAATCCATGCAAACCTTTATAGATACTAAGGTCTGGAATGGAACTATGTTGGAAGAAAGAACAGTGACTGGACAGCTGAAAATACCTGAAGGGATACATCTTGCCTCTGCATTAGCTAGCTGTAAAATGCCTGATTTTCAGAGGTGATGATCAACTGAAGTTAAATAATGAACAAAGCATAGGAACTCTGAAAATTAGGTCTCTCGATTTTACTGATTGCATGAAATCATTTCATCGTAAAATCTGGAAATTCTATCATTTCATTTATCTCCATGTTATCGGATTATATTTAGTTAGTACTTATGGCATCAAAAGGCATTCTGAAGACTAAACTCCAAGCACCTTTTTCTGGTCATAAGGATAAATATCAGGAATATAATCTGTGAAAGAAACAAGGACATCTGACTTACCTTGCTACAAGCCCCAGTCGTGGTCTCACAAACTGTAAGAATGGAAATGTTCTGTGGTCTGTTTAACCATCTCACCAGTGTCTTGGTATTGCTTACCCACTTTACCATAGTGATGTAGTATTCTCTGAGGTAAACATAAATTTTAAAATATAGTGGTTATATCATTTATATAAGGTTGTGTAATGTTTTAAATTATAATAGTAAGTAAACCAAATCTGGAAAACAAAGCCTGAAGTGAGTTGTTCCCTGTGAAAACATCAGTATTGAGGGATGGAATTGGATACCAAAATGACAAATATATTGGGTCATGGATGCTACCACTAGGAATAGTGGTTATGGCATGTGGCTTGCCTGGGAAGTTTCTGCTCCTTTAGCAGTTATCTTGCAATCTTTTAAGTAGCTGTGAGCTATATGCACCTTCAACAGCCTTTGTCCCACATGACTATATGCAATAAACTATGCAATGAAGATTTAAATTGTATAAAATACAGATTGTAAATATGTCAAATGACTGCCATATTTAAAATAGTTTTCCAAAAATATATACTGTCCATTTTGACGCTGATCCAGCAAACCACATAAACATGTACTTAACTTTGTGCAAGTGAGTAAGGTCTTTTATGAAACAGAAGAGACTTGTGGTTAGAGCAAAGCACTGAAAGTTAGGTATTGGAAACAAATCAGGACTGTGTCATTGAGTCATGGTCAGAATAAAAGGAGAATCAATTTACCTGCATTCTCATTTGTCTGTTTAGTGTTAGAAGCAAATAAGTAAAAGGAGAATGTACTCAGAAAACAGAGCTTGCACCTGAATTTTCCTAGACTAACCACATGTGTTAACGAATGCATTTGTTTTTAAAAAATAGTCTGCAAACTGCAGTATTTCTTTGCCAGATGCTTCTCTCTCCTGGACATATAGCAGACATCAAACTAAGAGAAACAAACTTTTGCACAAACACTTAATCCCTGCCTCACAAAAAAACAAACCAAAAAACCCCACCCACCATTGCTTTGCAAGGTTTGTGGGATTGTTTTAAAATGCCACTGCCACAAGTACTCCTGTTCTTTTTACTGATACACGGTAAGTATTCTATGCAGGGACCGAATGAAGAGAAATCAGACACTGTATCACTGTTAGTCGACTTTCACTGTAGCAAATAACTTGTAATGCCAGACAAACTGTCCATCCCCAGACATGTTTGGCTAAGCAAAAGGAGTCCAACACACAGATTTTAATGGCACAGAATATCTACCTACCTCCTACTGAAACCCTGTTATGCTGTCAAACTAAAGATGTTACTAAGAAGGCCTGTTGCAGCTTGTCATCACAAAGAAACTTGGTATGCTTGCTTCAATTCACTGCTTATGACAGCTAACACCTTCTACAGTCCAGCTGAGAAATGCTCAGCATTGAACTTAAACAATGTGTCTAGAAATTCAGTCCCACTTTAAACCCCTCAGTTTGTTAGCTTGCACTTAATTAGTTTTTTAATGTAGTTTTGATGGAAGCTTCATTACTTGTTAACAGTTGATATTTATTATAGAGTCAAAAGACATCTCACTACATCACGGATGGCCAATTTGTGGCCTGTAGGAAAGTTTTGATGCTGCACACAAAAGATAATGGGCCCAGGAAAGCAATGCAGATGACCCAGGTCTGAATTTGACCCCATGTTTATGGCATGTGGTAGAATAACTAAATCGGCACACCTTGCCTGGGACTATCCTTCTCTGTTTTTCCACCTGACTCCAGGTGATATGGATGTTCTTGCAGAGTGTGATCTGACATGCTGACTGGAACTAGTGACTAGGGGGTTAGTATTTGTATTTTGAATATTTAATATCAAACCACATCAAACCAGTGGTTTAAACCAAACCATAAGGTAACCTTCCAACAAATATCATGTGAACCTAGGATTAATTGTACTTCTAGTTCACTATACATGAAAAAATTACAGACCATTTAAAAATTCTTTTAATTTTCTTATCTGCTGACAAAAACCAACTACTTTCAAAATTCACTACTCTATGACCTGTTTATAAAGGCTCCCCCCTACATGTGTCTTTCTGGAATTATAAATTGATGGTGCACAGTATTTTGACAAGCTCCAAGTAATGCTTACCTGTAGTACATATTCCTGGAAATGGTTGAATCTATGGGTGGGAGGGATAGCTTAGTGGTTTGAGCATTGGCCTGCTAAACCCAGGATTGTGAGCCCAATCCTTGAGCCCAATCCCTAAGTGTGGCCCCACACTTAGGGATCTGGGGCAAAGATCAGTACTTGGTCCTGCTAGTGAAGGCAGGGGGCTGGACTTGATGACCTTTCAGGGTCCCTTCCAGTTCTATGAGATAGGTATATCTCCATATATTTTATTTTTATGTTTTTATTTTTTATTTGTATCTATCTATCACATACACAAAAAGAACATTAATAAAGTTTCAAAGTCAAGCATTCAAAAATGTAAAAAATGCCATAAATAAGGTTGCCTGTGCGACCTTAATTTGGCCTTCTGGGGCTAGATTCACAAGGGGTACTTAGCAATTGCAATGTCTCACTGTTAGGCATCCTGCTATCTAGTACAGTAACTCCTCACTTAATGTTGTAGTTATGTTCCTGAAAAATGCGACTTTATGCAAAATGATTTTAAGCAAATCCAATTTCCCCATAAGAATTAATGTAAATAGGGGGGTTAAGTTGCAGGAATTTTTTTTTCGCCAGACAAAATACATTATATACATATACAGTATAAGTTTTAAACAATTGTAAACAAACAGTTTAATATTATAAAGCTTGGTTGAGGTGGTGGAGTAAGAGGGTGGAATATTTCCCAGGGAATGCCTTTCTGCTATCTGATGAACTAGCACTCGGCTGAGCCCTCAAGGGTTAATACGCCGTTGTTAATGTGGCCTCACACTCTCCAAGGCAGTAGGAGGGAGGAAACACAATAGATACAGGGCAGTGGCTGCAAACACTTCCCTGCAAAAACTGAACATGATGATGAGCCCATGCTATCCAGCTGGAGCGCACCACTCCCTCCTCCTGACAACACATGCACGGCTGCACAGGTGTTGACTTTAGGATGACCAGATGTCCCGATTTTATAGGGGCAGTCCCGATTTTTGGGTCTTTTTTTAAAATATAGGCTCCTATTACCCCCCACCCCGTGTCCTGATTTTTCATATTTGCTGTCTGGTCACCCTAGTTGACTTTCCAAAGTGCTGGGGGATGCATGCATGAGTGAGAGAGAGAGACGTTCATTGCCCCTTTAAGTACGCTGACCACACTTCAAGTACATTGCCCTTAAATTGCCCTTAAATTGCATTTAAGCAGATCAGACAGTTCAGACAGGAAACAACAGCTTCTTGCAAGCTCCCTCCCCCTCTTCTGTCTCGGATCCCTGTGACTGTCTCCTCCTCCACTTTGTGGAGAGGGGGTATGGAGCTGGGGGGGGGGCAGAAAGAGGGGGACATCCTGACATCTCCTCCCATCCCAGCAAGCAGGAAGCTCCCAGGAGCAGCTCCAAGGCAGAGGGCAGGTCAGGAGCAGCACGGTGGTGGGTGGGGGCACCTGAACTGCTGCTGGGCAGCTGCTGAGCCATATACCTTACAGGGAATTTAGGGGAGCTGATGGGGGGGCGGCTGCTGGCCGCCCCTGGTTCTAATCCCCACAAGGAGGGGCTGCTCTTCCAGAGAATCCTGCAAACAGTGGACAAAGCAGGCAGCTGCCAAATGAAATTATAAGGGAGCATGGCACAACTTTAAACAAGCATGTTCCCCATGTTTTCAGAAAGATTTTTACCCCGAAAGTTCTATTTAAAAAAAATCCCTAAAGGTGAACCAAACTCTAGAGAATGTTTAAAGGCTCTCATGACCCTTTTTTTTGAGAAACACCTTGCTGATCTTATTACAAATGGGACTGCAAAACACTGATTGCTGAAACAAGTTAATACTAGCAGGGGTCGGCAACCTTTCAGAAATGGTGTGCCGAGTCTTCATTTATTCACTCTGATTTAAGATTTTGCATGCCAGTAACACATTGTAATGTTTTTAGAAGGTCTCTTTCTATAAGTCTATAATATATAACTAAACTATTGTTGTATGTAAAGTAAATAAGGTTTTTAAAATGTTTAAGAACCATCATTTAAAATTAAATTAAAATGCAGAGCGGACCGGTGGCCAGGACCCGGGCAGTGTGAGTGCCACTGAAAATCAGCTCACGTGCTGTCTTTGGCACACGTGCCATAGGTTGCCTACCCTTGTGCTAAAGTGTCAGAATCATTAAACAACCCTTCTGCCTTAGAAAAGACCTGCCCAACCCTTGGCTTCTCTCATGTTTGTACGTTTTATGTGCACATATGACTCAGATTGACAAACATTCAGATTACTTGAATTTAGTTACAGATCACAACTTTCAAATGATGCTTGACTCATATCTATGTAAACTTTCTATTTTCCATAACTAGGGCATTATGCTTGAATAGGTAAAATTAAAATTGATTTTTCCAGGCTTTCACAGCCTTGCTCTGGTTTCCATGATGCAACAGCAGAATGGATTTTTTTTAACTGAATGTATCCCAAAGAGAACAGAGAATGTTAACATTAGTCTTAGTAAAGCTACAGTGAGCTTCACACCAAAGACTCAAGCTCTGGGATGTGAGTCCCTGTAGGACCACACAGGACAGTCTTTGAATTCAGTTGTTGCAAGCCTTACAGCTCAGGATGGAAAGAAAGACTGAACAATGTCAATATCCATTCAATAATTCAATTTTGTTTTACTCTGAGAGAAATAGATCACTTAAGGAGCAAGAATGAATTTGCAAAACCTAGAGCAAAACCGGTAAATTTATGTGCTTCTTTTTTCTTTTCTTGAAGATTTCTCCATTGTATATAATTGATACTTTCACTGGCTTTATAAAATTTAAAGAACTATTTTAATCCATTTTATTTAAGAGTCTGTTCTCCAGTTTTTTTGTTTATTGGGTTTTTTTTAGCTCTTTTAGAAGGGTGTATGCTATTGCTTTCACCAGTGAACAGTTAGCAAACATTTGGTATGTGTTCTTGTCTTTCATAAAAGGCTCCATTTTCAGAGAGAGAATCTATTTTCAGCAAGCACAGTCCATTCAAAATCATTCCTTTTATCAAAACAGTAAGTATTCATGACAGCATGCACAACTGACAGGAGCTGATTCACCACTGAATTATTACCATAGGACTCTGGTGTAGCTCTATTGATGTCAATGAAGTTATACCAGTATGAAACTGTGATAACTCAGTCCCATAGTGTTAATGTCATGGCCATTTTGAAGAACCATTAAAAACCGTAAAACTGTTAAGGCTTGGCAGGAACTGCAGAAACAACAACGTATATTCCCTGTTTTTTTGGACTAGTGGTAACATAATTCTTTATCTCATTTACCACCTTTTAGCTGGAGATCTCAAACTATTTTAATAATATTTAAATAAGCCTCAGACTGTTCTATGATGAAGGGCAAGGTGATGATACACAGTGAGTGCCTCCCTTACCTCTAGAATGCAGTCAACTCTGTCCAATAGCACTAAATAGCATTGCCTAACAATGTAGGGCAGGAAGTGAAGTGGAATATCATAGCCAGCTGAAGCTGCAATGGGAATTTAGGCTGGCAGAATATAATGACATACATTGGAATTTGGCTAGAAGACTTTAATTAAAACTCTCCTATCCTTAAAGAAAGTTCCAAAAGATCTTTAATAAGCACAGGGGGTCAGGAACTCAGCTTTATGCCTCATGCAAAAGACAGTAACTTCAGCAGGACAATTCCTGGCAGCACCATGCTGTCACTACTTTGTACTGACTCAAAAGGAAGAGGAGTCACACCTGGTAAAGCATCTCCCTATTTCCTGAAGCAACTACTTATGCCCAGAGATCTCTCTACCAAGCATTGACAAAATCCAACACAGCCTAGCCTATGTGATCTGACAGGATCACAGCTTAGTTTATGTGATTTGCTTGGATCTGACAGGCAGCAGGAATAAACTAAATCCTTTACGTCTAATGATTTGAAGAGATCCTAATATATCACTCTACGTTTTAAAAAAAGTTTATTGAAAATTTATTTATTTTATTTATTCGTAATGCACTCATTGTTGTATTTTCCAGGCGCATCACAGAAACTGAAACCAACTTTGCCAGCAAGTGGGAACAGGGCAAACAAATGGCATAATTCAGTTCTACACTGACCTCAAGCAAAATCTCTGTTCACAACCCTCTGCCCTCTACCGTTTGTATAGAATCTTAGCTCCCTGATGATAAATACCTAGTGCAATAAATAACTAAATCAAAAATGAATTTGGGCTCTGAAGGATCTCAGAAAGGTTCACATTCTAGATCCTTGGGACTTCCACTAAGGATGCCCATCCCACGGAGTTCTATTCTATTCAGGCTCTTATACTGTGCCCATCACCATGGTCAGCCCTGGGGATGAAGTTCAAGAGCTTTGCAGTTACATTGAGCTTTTGTGTTGGTGTATAAAGGAAGAGATGGTCTCAGAGGTAGTCGTGAGTTTCACAAAACAATTAAATTCCATACCTTGATTTAAAGCTGTCAGGCGGCATGAGTTCCAGTGTATGTGTTGGTCCATATAGATTGACAACAAACAGCTTTATCGTTGGGTTGGTTTGACCTGCCTTTGAAAAGAAAAAAAGAAAGTAGAAATTTTAGCATGTAACATTGGAAATACTGACAGCTAAATATACTTAAGGAATACATATATTTCAATATGTTTCAATATGTTTTTCATAACCTGAAAACCCTTAAAGCGATCTTCAATTGAAAACAATAAAATTCTGTCTCACTATCTCCCATGAATTGCTCAGTCACATCAGCTACACACTTGAAAATGTAGTTCAAACCCCAAAGTACTGATCACTTACTATCCATCATGCTGCTATTCACTGAAGACAGATACCGTAATGCAAAAAAATTGACCAGTCACATGACAGTAATTGGGAAAGTATTTTGTGAGTTCTGTATGTAGATGGAAATCCCATTAACATTTTATCAGAATTGTGCATGTTCAAAGGCAGAATATACCCCGTGGTGTTTAGGACTTAGGGCTTGTCTACACAGCAAAGCACTTTAGAGGGCTGTGATTTGTAGAGCGCTCTAATCTGATGAGTTCTAGATACCCTATGCAAACCATGATGGTGTGCTCTAAAAGGTATCTAGTTTGCATTAACATAGCCCTGTTAAGAGCCTGCCAGCAGGATCTACATGGGGCAGTTAGATTGCAACACCTTAGACTGCTTTACAATTAGGGTGACCAGATGTCCCGATTTTATAGGGACAGTCCCGATTTTTGGGTCTTTTTCTTTTATAGGATCCTATTACCCCCCAGCCCTTGTCCTGATTTTTCACACTTGCTGTCTGGTCACCCTATTTACAATCCACACCCCTCTAGAGTGCTTTGCTGCATCGTGTAGACTAGCCCTAAGATTCCAGAATGTAAGACCATGTGAAACTTGTAGCATGAACATGCATACATGCCAAGAAAGCACAGCTGACATTCTTTCTTGTTGGGTAGTTAAAATCCAGTTTAAATGAGCTTTGTAATAATGTTCTAGTAATAGATCTAATATTCAAATGTGTACATTCATGCTAGGGGACAGCCAAGGAAGAACCATTAGGATCTCACACGTCTCTAAAGACTGCTGCTGACAAAAGGGGAACAACCAAAGAGAGGGTGATAAATAGGATTGGTGGTGGTGGATGAAATGTCTGGGGGAGGAGAGGAAGGTAGATCAGATGGTATTCTGCACCTTCAAATATTTTGAGGTTCACATTATCAGTAATATATATATTACTCAAATCACTGCCTATCACGGTAATGAATGTTGTCTCATTGTTTCCTTGTGCTCCTCCATCTCTGCCTGTTGTAGTCACATGTTGTCTTTTGTCTTGCATTTAGATTTAGATTGTGAACTCTGGGGCAGGGAACATCTTTTTACTCTGTACCTGTACAGCACCTAGCACAGTGGAGTCCTGATTCATGACTGGATCTCGGAGGCACTACCACAATAAATAAATACTAGATTGTAAAATTTTATACGATTTTGTAAAATAAAATAATTAAATATCTATTTGCAGTTTGCCTGCTTCTGAGTAGCTCTGAAATGCTCAGTTAATTTGGAGTGGTAATTGGACTCCTGTTTGCATTTTCCACAAATTTAAAATCATATCCTCTTTTCAGTTTTACAGACTAAAATGGATTTTAGATCTGGATAAGGTTTTTTTATTCTGGGATCAAGCTACTAGATATCTATGTGGATTCACTCAATATCTGCTAGAACTGTTAAAACATGTCTTATTAGAATCATTCATGGCTTACTATTGAGCCTGTGTTTCACACAGAAATAAATGTAGTTCTCCTTAAAATAGCATCCCTAAAGTAATCTTGTGCTGGATAATCATCTTGTTGAAAAAAGGATACAGATAATTTAAGGTAAATGGTAGGGAGCTAGGGAAGAACAAATCTTCATTGGATTTCTTCCCAATTTTTTTTTTTAGGGTGTGGGGAAGAGTCCCTCCCTTCTCCCCCCTTCCCCCCCGAAGAACAGGTCATATGCCAAGGTCATAAAGACTGAGGATCCACAGGAAGTCAAGACCCTGTGTGTGATGTGCTGTACTTCAATCCACGGCCGCTCCAGAGCTCCATTACAGGATCTTCCCATCTCCATTCTCTGGCAACATATCCCCAGTAGAGCTTCTCATGGTGGTGACCATCACCAGAGTCTCCTTACTCTCTTCAGGTGGGTTGTGTGTGGGGGAAAGGAGTCAGAAAGTTGAGTAATGTTAAGTTTGGGCTCCGCAGGGCCAGTGGGTAAAGGCTGTAAACCCCCTTAATCCTGCCCTACTCCCACCTTGCCCCACCCCTCTCCACTGTGCAGATTCCAGGACCCACAGAGAGTTTTCCAAGGAGCCCCAGGGAAGCAGAAGAAGAGGCAACGCTGCTGCAGAGGACTTCCTGTTCATGCAGAATGGGCAAAATTATTTGTGGGTCAAGAAAAAATGATCAAACCCACAATTTTTACCACTTCTAGTTAAAAACTAGCTTGTGTACGCTTGGCTCATTGTAGGAATATTTATAGATCCAGTGTGGTCTTTAAAACATGCCTCGCTGAAATACCAACACACATTTTCTTTGGAAACTGCACTTATCTCATCACATTTCTAGCCCAAACCTGATGTCCGCCCATATCTAAGTGGTGCAGGACAGGAGACAAGTGTATGTGTGAACCAATGATAGGCAAACATGAAATTTAGAGGATCACTTCGGTTGAGTCTCTAGATGTTCATGTGTCCGCAAAATTAGGGACTGATCTTTGAAATACAAAAGAACATGGGTAACTTTCCTCATCTGAGTAGGTTCCATTAACTGCAGAGGGATGACTCATGTGAGTTATGGTGCATAGGTGTGTAACTGAAGGTTTTGAGGGGAAATATTTCGTGTGAGATTTTGAGTCCTTTCAGCTTCCAGTGAGGTCAGAAATGCCACCAGAATGGCTTTCCCACACCTCCACTTCTGGCAAGAACTGGGAATTGAAACAGCAGTGACAATGAAAAATATATACAAAAACTTTACACTGGGTGTTTTTGTTTGTTTGTGTGTTTTAAATTCAAAAATGGTTCACTCTACCTCTTTGTCAATGGATTATACCATCCATTATATGCTCCTAGGTGGAAAATGTAATGCACATTTAATTCCAGGCATGTCAACCCTACAGATGTCCTAATTCTGTTACCCTTACTCGTACTTACTCCTTTACACTCCACAGGATTATTGCCTTGAGTAATTACTACTGTGCGTGAGTAAGGATTGCAGAGTCAGATCCCAAGTGAGCAGGTCACAGTTTCTGCATGATGTAAAGTGAAATCCTGTGTTAAACAACAACTTTTATCTATCCATGTTGCCTAACCACAAGCTTAATTAATAAATGATGTTTAACTGGAAGCTAAATTGTTACTGAATAGACAAATTAAATGAAGATAATGTTTTTCATTAATGAGATTACTGAAATAATATTGTGCATCTCTTTTGTGCTGAATTGCTAATGCTTTGAGATTTTTCACTTCTTTGTAGTGCTATTTTTTTTATTTTAAAGAGTTCCTTGTATATTTTTTCTTGGTTGATTAATTGCTTTTAGCCATCAAAGCTGACAGAATTGTGTGACTGGTGCTCCTAGGTGCTATACTACAAATACTAAATAATAATCATAATTACCATCCTAGAATGCTGTTTCTTAAGAAAATCATAGGTATTTTTAAGGTCTGATCTTACTTCCTTTAAAGATAATGGGTCAACTCCAATTGATTTCAATTGGAGAAGAGTCAAGGTTAAAATTTTCAAGACTACTTAAGTGACTTAGGAAAATCAATGGGACTAAGGCCTGGTCCCCACTTACCCCCCACTTCGGACTAAGGTACGCAAATTCAGCTACGTTAATAACGTAGCTGAATTCGAAGTACCTTAGTCCGAACTTACCGCGGGTCCAGACGCGGCAGGGAGGCTCCCCCGTCGATGCCGCATACTCCTCTCGCCGAGCTGGAGTACCGGCGTCGACGGCGAGCACTTCCGGGATCGATCCCAGAACATCGATTGCCTGCCGCCGGACCCTCCGGTAAGTGTAGACGTACCCTTAGACTTCTGCGTGCCCAAGTCATTTATGAAAATGGGACTTAAACGCTTTTGAAAATCATACCCAAATCTTTAATCTATACACTGAACTATTGCTACTTTCTTCAAGTTTTGAATGTTTAAGATTTTTTTATGAGAATCCCTTCCTACTGCACATTACGCTGTTTTGGTGTTTCAGCAATCACTGTATGTCCTTCAAAGAAGCCAGCTCCCATTCTGCATATTTGCATTTTACTGCATAGAATTCAACAAGGAGAGGCCAAAACCAAACTAACAAAGAAAATCTTCCCCTTTAAGAAGGCTTCCAAATTAATGCCCTTGGTTTTCTTATTTTTCTAGGAGGCAGATAAGCTTTCTCCATTTCCCTTAGGCATCAGATTGGGGAAGCAGCAGCTTAACCAAGTTTCTAAGGCTTTTACCTAAGTGAAACCAAACTCATAGTCAGAAAACAAAGTCACTAAGGCCTAGGTCAAGCTAGTGTCCTGAAGTCAGAGTGGGCCTGCAGCCCATAGCAACCAGCATGGCTTCCATTTTTTTCTCTCTCCTCCTCAGCTTCCTTTTCCTGTTTATATATAGTCTTGCCCCCAGGGTGAGCTAGGGTGCCTCTTGATTGTGCCCAGGCTCTTTTGACTGTAAGCTGCAGATTGTCCCTTAAAGGGGCCATAGACCCTTACTTACATTTTGTTGCCTCTCACAGAGTTAAAAAATAAGCCAGTATATATATATATATAAGCATAAAGCCTGCTTATAGGCGAGGGGAATCAGGACTATAATGTCTTTTCTATATATCATATCCTAGTATGTTCTTTTTCAGCCTGTCTGTATATTGAACTTAAGCAATACACGTGAGATACAGATAAAGTAGTATGGTAGCTGGAGCCCAGCAAAGAGGCTCCCACGGGTTTAGGAACTCAATATATGGAGTTAACAAAGGTAAGCGAATATGGAAACTTTGAGCAGGGGAACCTTGAGGTAGCAGGACAGGGTTTATGGAGAGTAAACAGGAAATTAGGAGGATTCTAATTCTGGTATCAGAGAGTCTCATGTTTAGACCTGCAGATCTCTCCTCATCACAAAAGATGGGCGCTCCTTATCCACATTTTTGAACCTCACTGAAAGGTTTGGTTCTATTCAGTTTAAAGACTTGGGGAAGGTTCATATCACGGCTTATTTTATCCAACCAAGGCCTCTCACCTGTGTTAATAATACCATCGTTTGATGAAAAGTAGCAGTCAGATACTCTGATACTCTGTATTATCAGAAAACTGTTATGCTTTATCCATCTATATAAATGCAGCTAAACACTCACTGCTGCCTGCAGCTACTCTGTGCTGTTCAAAGGCAATTCTGGCAGCATTTTTTCTTGACTCCTTCTGATCATTTCATTCTTCATTCAAAAGCTGTAGCGTTTACCAATCATAAATTAGCATGAAACAGACTGTATGTCCCATCCTGACCTAATGGTTTCTGTCTAGCAAAAAGCTTTATAACCCTATTTGAAATAGCATAACTCTGAATGTTATTCCCCGTACTGCCACATCAACACAAGCAGCTTCTTTTACTATGTAGAAACAGTCCTTCAGTAATGCAGAATGCTATCAGTCGGTTCATTGAACCGTGCACAAGGGCTGTAGATTGCACTTAGACTTTACTTACCTTAGGATATGGATAGTGCTTTCCTTTGGGATACAGACCTCCAGTAAACCGAGGAATAACCATGTTTGGTACCAAAGTGTCATTTATCATCAGGAATGCCAACCTTTCTCCATCCGGGGACCACCAGTGGGCAACGTGAGAGTGAAGAAGCTCCTCTGAAACAGATGCATATTCTTGGAAATTCATAGAAGTAACTGTTGAGTGATTCAGATTACCAACTCATTCATTTACATTTGATATCATTTCTATGCTTTGTTGCAATGCAGCTGTTGTAATTATAAAGAAATATTGAACATTATCCTGGACTGAATTGCCTGAATATTAAGGTCCATTATAAGCTAAATTATGAGTTTTTACTCAGACAAGAATTCCCAATTATATCAATGGAATTACCTGCATAAGTGAGATGATTATTATTTCCTTATGTTTAGTCCTAATATCATTCTATCCATTTTTAAATTCTTTTTGTAAATGATTTGCATCAATAGAATTGAAAGGCATTTAAAGGCATTTTTAGCACTAGTATCATTCTATCCAGTTATTTATGTTTTATTCTTTAATTTGGGGACAACCTTCAGTTTTATTGAATCTCATTTTGCATGAAATTTTGATTTGGGGGGAGTATTCTGTTTTGGAATAGATTTCTTTCTTTCTTTTTTTAAATTCCCAAATTCCCAGCCAAATGAAAAATCCAGTTCCTGCCCAGCACTAGATCTGACTAATTTAGCTCTTACTTTTAGTCTGTGATCAGACTTTGATTTTGTTTAACTAGCTAATTTACTATTTGTACTTTTTCAGCAAACACTGTGTTGTACACAAAATTCAGCTGTGTGTCTGGAAACCAAAATGTGGAGCATTCACAAGCTGTCCACTCAGAATATTCACTAATTGCTGTTCACTTGTGATAGAATATTCTGTAACTCAGGCAATCTTTCTGCTCCCTGCCTGGATAACTGAAACCTTTTTACACAGGAAAACAACAGATAATGAATGATGAACATTCATATAGAAAACATTTTTGTTTGTTCTAAAACACCAGTGTTTGCATTTAAATAAGGATATTCACACAAAGAATAGACACTCCCAAATACTTCTATAAACCAATGCCCAAATACTTCTGTAAACCAATGCCCAGGAACATGAGTATTTGTGAATTGCAAGTGAAAAAGTCACAAAAATAAGGTCAAAATGAGCGGCTATTAAATTCATCTGGATGTCCATTAATATAATTGTGCAGTATTCAATCAGCTATATGCCTGATGCCACCACGCAATATTTCATCTATATCTACTGCTTGCAGAGTACTGCTTAAATTAACAAGTTACCTAGGAAAGAAGAAAAGAGTCAGAATGCCACAATATGCTCTGGGGATTTGTGCCTAGAAAAACCCCCATGTGCACCCCCTCCTCACAACTGTTAAAGAGATGGTGTGTGTGGCAGAGGGAAACAGCTTCTTCCATTCCACCATAGCCTATTCCTAGGAATCCATGGAGACCGCTCTCTGGGAGCAGGACCTGCATCAGAGCTATGGGGCAGGGACTGGACATCCTGAGAATGGGTGGAATCGCTTGAGAGTGGCCACACAGAACTCACAGGCCCCCAAGGCTGTATAACCTTTGCTGGATATAATCTGATCCACAGAGCCCCCTCCGTGATGGGGGAGCCCCTCACAAAGTGGCTTCCAGTGGCTGTTCTGACAGGGATTAACAAGGAGCAACTGAAACGGTAAACTGGAAATACAGGACCTCTGCATTAGTGTGTCTAGCTTCCTTCATAGAGGAAAAGTCGTGGCCTTGCTGAAAATCAACCTCCATGATTTTTGGAGAGGTTAATGGGCCTGATTTCCAACCCTACATATCCATTTGCAGGAAAAATTGCACATATGGATACAAACATGTATTTGCTGGTGCAAACCGTCATATGAGCGTACGTCCCAGTGAGTTTTGTGAATGGAAATTCTAACACCTCTGAGCGCACAGGTGCTGGAATTGTACAGTGTACATTCAAAGCATGGACACATGTATGTGCATGCGCTATTTTACATACAAATGTGCAAAGCTCAGGTAGAGTATCAGTGGGAAATGTAACATTAATATGTGCATTTTCAACTAGTTACTTCTCTTCCTTAAGCATTAAAAGGGTAAGAGATATAAATGATATGTAAGAAAGTAATTTGTACTGTCAACAATTCTAATTATCTTTAATAAAAAAAAATTGTTTCTAAAAATGCATGCCAAATTATTTATAACAGATAATTTTCTGATATGCACAATCAAGTTGAAATTGAAAAATGCCGCATTGGTATGGCATAAATGACAGAAATTGGTCTTGTTACTCTTTAGTTACTGTATACAAATACTACAAATACCGAGGCCCTTTGCAGTCAATATACTCAGGTAATTTTAACATATTTATTTCTCTCACAGTATCTGGTCTTAACAATAGGTGCAGCTTTGCCATAAGGATCTACAAGCGCATTAGAATCTCCTACTTCATTCTCTATTAACTAAGAACCAGATTTTGTAATCCTTACTTATAGTGAGTGTTTCCTTAGCCATAAGTGATGTGGCAGGCTGGCACAGTCATAGGAAAGAGATCTTGGCCACTGTTACATGCCAGAGCTCCAAAGTTTGTCTGTTAGCAACTTCACCGCAGTCCCCCCTGAAACCTGACTTTTTCTTTTCCCCAGTTTCACTCATCCTACAATGCTATCGCTTAATCTTGTGAATTGTTTCACTCACTACTACACTACCCACAAGTAAGTATATTTGAGTAAACTTTACCAATGTTTAGTATAGTTCAATTGACTTTACCAGGGCTTCTCTTATGCTAGACTTCACGTAGTCATTAGGTGGAGGCTCCCTCTCCCTCCCATATGACCTAAATAAATATCAGGCTGACTTCTAATTACTCCCCAGGCGTGCATACTGCCCAGAAAAGACTGGAGAATTGGCAGAGCCATAACTTTGTCTGCTCAATGTGCTGAACAGCAGAGCTGGTCAGCTGCCTGGGTTAGAGGGTGGAAGGAATATACTGCACTCTGTAAAGGGGAGCAGTGTGAATTTGGAGATTTCCAGGAGTCATTCAGAATTATCTTTGGCACAGTGCAACTCCACACTGCCCCCAATTCAGAGCATATCGCGCAGGCTACCGTCTTGTGAATATGTGCAGTTCACCCTAAGGTTAGCAAAATTTGACCCAAAGTTGCCTAGCAAACTGTTGAATAATCATGAATGTGACCCAAGCAATACTTTGTTTTAGCAAAAAGGTGATCTGCTCTGTCAGATTTAATTAACTTTATATGGTTAAATACACCAATTTATATGCAATCATATTAGATTTGCAGTATCTCAACTGCATTTAAAATGATCTTCCATGCTAAAAATGCTCTTCTCCCTGGTTTTGAACTTCACTGACCTATTAAAATACTTACAAAACATTAATGGAATCCATTAAAACCTGAGGTGGGTAATCTTTTGAATACAGACATTTAAACCTCTATAGAATGTAAATTACCATTCTTATTTCAGAGAGTCCATTTGAACTCGGGTTTTCAAAGAAGCGTAAGAGTATATCTGCACAGCAACTAGACACCTGAGTCTGGACCATACCAGTCGATTCAGTCTTGTGGGGCTTGGGCTGCGGGGCTTTTTCATTGCTCTTTAGCCCGCACTCTGGGGACCCTCCCCCACTCTAGAAAATATAACTATATGCAAATGAGTCAATATAAAATATGAGCTAATGCAAAGATCTGAAGGCAATTTTGCAAGAAAATAGGAAGAGAAAAAGCAAAATAGCTTCAGACACCATTGTCCTGGAATGAATAGTTTTCTCCTGTAGGTTTTGTACAAGAATCTCTTCCCTGTATTAATAAATAGCTATATATATATCCACCTTACCTTCATAGAGCCAGTCTGCGATTCCATTAAAAATGATTCCTTCTTTTCCTGAGGATGTCAGTCGCAATGAGCTACTCTTTACATCAGGTTGATAGTAGATGTTATTTTCAAAAATATAAATCTAGATTAGGTAAAAGAGATAAAGGGGGGCAATAACATGTTGGTAGACATAAATGAATGTTTTCATGCCAGTGATAGAAATACAATTTCCATGGTTTCAGAACAGTTTAAAGAATAATTCATCATAATTTTCATTGAAGATCTCTTTAGATTTTCTGGTATTATCAATTTCTAAGAAACTTTTAACATTCTTGTGGCTCTGAATCCTTTCTTTTTAACTATTATGCCAACTCAAATATTTCTACTCCCTTTAGCAAATTTTCTCACAATCTCCAGAACCACCACTGTAAAGAGGCTAAACAGTCAAATTTTATTACAATTAACTAGATTATGAAATATTTTGTTAGTCCCATTTTTATCCAGCACAAATATCTTTATTTCCATCTATGAAAATAGATATAGTTGTATAGATATAGATTACAGATATAAATTACGGATATACATCACTGGTGTAATAGTACAGATGGGAATTAAGTGAAATAAGAATGAGACCAAGAAACTGAGTACTGTTTGATTCTCTCTATGCTCTTATACCGTGAACATCTTACAAGTCATGCATGCGATGAAGTGGGTATTCACCCACGAAAGCTCATGCTCCAATACGTCTGTTAGTCTATAAGGTGCCACAGGACTCTTTGCTGCTTTTACAGATCCAGACTAACACAAGATCTGATATCTTACACAATGCACATCATAATAATGACCCTCCTATTGTAAAGTTTGGTTTCCTTATTTTTTCTCTGTAGATGTTTGGGAAGAATTTCTCTTTACTCATTTTTCTTCCCCTCTTTTCTTCTTCTCTCCATTATTTTCATCCCTCACTCTTCAATGGCAAGGAACCAGTGAGGACACAGACAGAAATTAGAATCTTTTGGCAAGTGGCTGCAATTTTAACTTCAAATAAGATATCTTCTACCAAAAATTTGTCCCAGCAGCAATGAAAAGGGAGAAGGCTACAACTACCTTAAGCGGTCAGTGGTTCTCCTCCTCCAATGCTAAAATATAGAGCACTCTAATATGTCCTGGATTTAACCCAATCGGGGGAGGAGGAGCAGGAAGAAGCCTGCATCTGTTATTTTATAGTATCTTCCCTTGCTTCCTCCCAGCCAACCCCAGCACTTTTTCTTAGAGTAGAGATTCTTCTGAGGAGATCAGAAAGCTGTCGTTGGCTGGCCGGGGCCGTGAACCACCTGGAGAGACTGACCCACCTTTCTGAAGCCTGCTAAAATGGCTAGCCCCTTCTCTCTATCCACATCCCTCCTCTTGTATCTTAGTTCTTTTGTTGTAGTGACATTAAGGGAAAGCTACACAACAGAAGTGAGTCTTACACTTTGCTCTGATAACAGTGAGTTTTGAGGTTGTTTTCACCTCATTCATTCTCACACCATTGCTGTTTCTAATGGTAAACCAAAGTGATATTTACAGTCCAGCCTCCTGGTCTATTCTGGTGTTTCTAAGAATTAGGGGAAGGAGCCAGTGGGTGAACACCTGGGAAGGGGCAGAAGGGTCTCCCCATTTTTGATGTAATCAGAGTCTAAGTTTGAAGTTCAGAATGTTAGAGCACTAAGAGGTGCAAGGAAGAGAGGAAAGAGAAAAGAAAGACCAAGAGAGAAAAAAACAGGAGGGGCAGTGAACCTCATTGTAAAGATGAGGATTTATAATGGAAACAGTGACACAACCCTAAGTATAGCACTGTGTACTTCAGCTAATGCAGAACAGTACAGCACTTCTCCGAGCAAGGTATCAAACCTGTCCTCCACTCTCTACACTAGCTTCCCATAAAAAACAAACAAAACAAGACACTCTACTACATACACTTCTCCACCTGGGAAGAGTATGAGAGAACAAACGTGACAGATATTAGTCACATTACTTAACACACTACTGAAAGGCACCCACATACTATGGTGATAAGCATGATATAGGAACTTCTGTAGAACAGAATAGAATACTACTTCCTTTCCCCTGTTAGACAGGGATCTTCCCCTCTGCTATCATATTCTTCCTTGAAACACAGTTCTTTTGGAATGTGCTATCCCTGATCTCTCCATAGGCACTATCTGCTCCCTCTTTCCCACCTGATGTTATAACAAACACGCACCAGCAAAAGCAAACAAACAAACAAACAAAAAGGAAAGGAAAATGTGGAATCACAGCTGATGTGAATTCCTGTAATAATGCTTCTGCCAAGTGGATTTTCCCAATCCTTTAATTTTTTGGTTATCCCTCATCCCTCCCTCTCACCCGATGTCATGATTTGTCTTAATTGTAAATTCCTTAGGGCTTATTGTCTTGTTTATCTTTAAGTGCCATAGCCATGTATGCATTTGCCAAGCACAAAATAATAATAAATAATAACAACAAAACAATTCATAAGAACATGCACACACCATAATAGCTTTGCAGGCAGGAAAATGCAGATAACAGAGCAATAGATAAACAATACACAATATAAGTTTTGGTGCCAACAGGGCTGGTGCTACCATTAAGGCAAACTAGGCGGTTGCCTAGGGCGTCAAGATTTGGGGGCGCCAAAAAGCGGTGCCCCCAATTTTTTTTACAGCGTTCCTGCACCCCCTTCCCAAGCACGCGGTCACCGCACCACTTCTCCCGCCTCCCAGGCTTGCAGCGCCAATCATTTGTTTGGCGCCGCAAGCCTGGGAGGGGAGGAGAATTAGAGCGGGGGCGGCGTGCTCGGGGAGGAGGTGGAGCAGAGGTGAGCTGGGGTGGGGAGCTGCTGCACGGCTCCCCAAGAAGGGGGAGCTGCCTTGGGAGGGGCACCTCAGGGTGGGGGGTGTGGGGTGCAAGGTGGAAGTTTCGCTTAGGGCCCGAAACTTCTTTGCACCGGCCCTGGGTGCTAACATCTCTTCGATATGCACTCATGCTACAACACTGGGTTGCTTAATTGCAGTAAATGCATTTCCATAGATCATCTAAAAGGCCCAGGTATTTATCATATGTCTGCTTGTGGGAATAATACCAATCTAAGGTTAAGTATTCTTGACCTTATCACTGCTTTCCTCTCCCCTTCCCAATTATCAGTTGAAACAGATTTCCCTAAGCATCTTTAAACTACAGTCATCTATTGATATTTAATAATATCTGTATCAGGATTTCTACTTTATGAAGCAATAAAGCTGAAGAGTTTCATACCATGAGCACTGAAGCATGTTTTAGTTATTATCAGGAACAAAGGGTGACTTGGGACAAAGTTACTTTATGGTCAGAAATTCAAAACCCTATGTGAATTCAAACTTGAAGTAAAAATAATTGATGAAATGTTTTATGGTTTCAGCAGCTATATAAATTATCCAGAAGTATTGACCAGTAATTACATTTATATTTGAAGAACTGAAATTGGAGGCAGTTCAGAATCTCTCTGAACCTGAAAAATATCACCCAACTTTAAGCTTGGAGAAGATATGGAGTAAGAATTTTAATGATGCCAACTTTCTGAAGAAGGTAATGACAGTCTCTGTAGTCAATGTATATTACTAAAAAAAAAAAAGTAGAGGACTTAAGTTTGTTTTTTCTGGGAAAAAGAAATGCATATAAGTAACACTAGGCAAGGTGGCCTACTTAATTGTTTAAGGAAGCCTAGGTGAAATAAGATCATTTTGCCAAATAGTTTTTCTTTTAGCCAGTTAAAAGCATTTATTTATGCCAAGACAGATCCTCAGGCAGTGTAAATGGGTGTGGCTCTAATAGGTAGCATTGCCTCCAATGTATAAAGAAATGTTTTTAACTGGCTAAAATAACAACTTGGAAATATGATCTTATTTCATTTGGGTTTCTTTGAACAACTAGCTCAATCTTGTCCATTATTGTAGAACAATAACAAGGGCAAAATATTACTTGTATTTATTTTTTTCTTACCTTTTAGGTTGTTTCTGTCTCAAATTGTGAAAACATCTTTTATGGCTGGGCGCTGTAGTGAAAAGCTTTCATTTAAATATTGCACTGTCAGTCAGCATGCAGGATTAAGAGCTACTTTTATAACTTAACCATGAAAAGGGTCTTTAATCTTGTTACTACTATTTAGTATGTGTTGCTAATTGAATTTGACACACTGCAAATAAGAAAATATCTCACAAGGAACATCCAGTTGTTGGTTCCACTGATCACATGGTTATTCATTCTTACTCATTATTAATTATTTAATAAAGTGCCCCATCCCCATCTGCCCTGACCACCCAACCAGCCCTCTTTTCATCCTTCAGACATTCCCACAAACACCCTCATGTAATCTCTCATCACGAATTCCCCTTTCCTCTTCATTACTCCTGATCTCAGACTGTGAAATCTGTGCCTATCTTGCCCCACAGGAAATTCTTTCTTCCTATTGCACATGAAGAGTGAAGCTGCTGGGGACCTGTGCCCACGCTCTTTCCACTTGTTCACGGCTAGAGTCCAGGAGCTAGGGATGACTTTATTTGTTAACTAAAAATGATGAAACTATGTTACCCATGACACCGAGTGCAATACAGGTATTAACAAATTAAACAAGATTTAAACCCAGGACCTTGCAGAACTAAATCAACCACCTAGACTAAACATGCTGCTCTAAATCATCCCCTCCACTGCCGGGTCTGTGCAATGTTGTGCAGGATTTAGTCCCAAAAGAATAATGTGTTCATGCTTGATGTTGTAGAAATACCTTAGTATAAATCACCATTAAGTTCAGTCCTTCAGCCCCAGTCTGTAACTTTGAGCACTTGTTATAATTCATCTGGTGTCATTTTTGAGTTATCGGGGCCCATAAAAGTGTTTGAAGCCAAAGAAATTACTCCATGCAGATTTCTTACAAATATATAAAAGACCAAAACCCCAGAGTCATTGGGTTTAAGACTTTTCACACTGTGGTTCATCTGAGAGAATTTATTTTTTATAGATCAATTGACCACATTCCACCCCTTGAAAACAAGGCCTTAGAATGAAAATGTTCATATCTGCTAGTATAGCAAAGCAGATAGCACATAATTACAAAAACATTAGCACTAAAATCAATTAGTAGTAACCTTAACATGGAAATTGCTA